GCTAATAGATCGCAAAGCATTTCACCTGAAATGGTATAAGCCAAAGTAGATAGATCATGGATAGTGGTTTCGTCATTGTTTTCATTTTGATCCTGCAACTGCTCAGTGGAAGAAATGCCACATGTATGGCTACTTACAGTATACTAGATAAGAACTAGAAGTAATCTAAAGTAGGCATTGTGAGGTTGTAGTAAAATGTGAAGCGATTGTAAATGTTGTATTGCCTTGGCATCATTGTAATTACTATTTTTCTTTATAGTTGGAAATGCTCTCTGATCAACAGAAAGCTAATGTGGAGGTTAGTACTCATCCGTTCAAGCAACCATATCTTTTCTTCTTAGTTTCTTTAAGCTGCATTTTATGTTCTAAGTAAACTATTCTGTTTTGTACATGTATGATGTTTTTGTTCTGGACCTATGTAGACTGACTGAAGGAAATTTTAAAGAGCATTTGAAGTCGTAAAACTGTTACCCTTTTACTATTTACTCTTGTTGCATCTCACACACGTTTTGTGTTTGTTATTATTATTATTATTATTATTTTTGTTTTATTAACTTAAAATGTATTCAACTCAAATTGCACTATGGTGCATTGGGGGTACCATTTATTTTGAGTGGCACCTGTGTCACAGTGCATTGCTCTGGTGCATTGGCAGCCCATTTATTACCCACTTTGCATTACAGGTGTGTTAAGTGTGAAGCCAGCCTTAATCCCTTCACGACCCATGACAGGATAATCCCGTCATGAATTGGGAAGGGGTTAAACAGACTCTCCACCGGGACTCTGTTCATAATTGTAGAGGCGGCGGCTGGCTTTACAGTAGAAGCGATTCTGGCAGCTTAGCTGCCGTCAGATCAATTCTACGATCCGGTAAACGGGCTCCGCTGCCCCTCCTACTGGCCCGGGGACTGGCTTCTCTGGTGTCTGGGGGAAGCTGGGATGAGAGCGGCGAACGTCCGTACACCGATCTTCTCCCTGTTGTATGGGACCAGGAGCAATGCGTATTGCATCACTTCCGATCCCATGGCTGTCACTGCTGGGCTCTTGAAGCCCAGCAATAAGCTATTGCACCTGCCCTCTGCTGCTGGCAGTCAGCAGAGGAGGACCTGATGGAGAACTTCAGGTCCACCTCTGCTAATTGACAGCAGCAGTGGACGGGTGCAATAGCTAGTCTGCTATTGCAAATTGAAATAGCCAATAGCAATCTAGCTATTCATTCCTATGCCCTGTGTTGTGTTTTTTTTGTTTTGTTTTGCGGCCCCGATGTCAAGCAGGGGGAAAAAAAAGACAGCAGTGAAAGGTTTACTCTGCTAGATAAAGCAGGGTAAACCTTTTCCGGGAGAAAATGTTTCTCTCCTGGGTGTCCGGGATCCGCTATCTTGTAGTGGGAGACTCCCGGAACGAACATCTGGGAGAGTTGAGATGTCTGCTATACACACTGTGACAGTACCACTGCTTGTAATCTCCTCTGCAATGCTCTGAATTATCAAAACTACTTACAACAAACCAAGTTTACAACAATCTACAAAGAAAAACAGCTTTATTTCAAATATAGGAGCTGTATCCTCTGTGACTGCGTGGCCAGATTTAGCATGTGAGCTCAGTCTCTGAAAGAAAGTATGAGGCTGGTGACAGCTCATAGGTGGGAACCCAGCCTAAAGTAGAACTATGAGGTGAGTGCTTTTCACTCACCTCATAGTTCTAGCCGACCTGTGACAATGAGACTGTCACAGGTCGGCTCAGTAGATCGGGAAGTGAGTGAACACATAACGGCGTTCGATCACTTTTCGATCCTGTTACTGCATAGAGCTGTGACGGGAGGGACTGGATTCCCCCCTCCCTGCTCTGATACTCCAGCGCTGACTGGCGGAACCGATGGGGGAGGGGGCGGGTACAGCTGGCTCTGCCTCTAAATAGGCAGAGCCAGCTGTCACTCACGCAGCTGGGTGGATCCATACATACGTCTCAGTATACCGCGAGCAGTAGCTAAGGAGAATTATGGGGGAAAGCCCTAACCCCATAGTTCTCCTTTTAATCACTGATAACACTAAACTGATGAACAGTAAAAGCGTTTTAATTGTCGCCTATGGGCTTTTTTTTGCAATTTTGCGGGCACACGCAATTTTAAGGCTTGACATGTTTGGTGTCTATTTACCCGACAAGACCCCGACTTTTATGTTTTCCTAAAAATATGGGTAAGAATAAATGTTTTATAACATTACGTTGGGAAACTTTTCTTTTTTTCTTTTTTTTTTTTTTACATTTATGGTACTTTTTTCATTATATAGTAAAAAAAA